TTTTGGTGATGGGACACAATAACTAACTACATTGTATATTGACAAAATAAAAATAAAAATACAACATCTGAAATGAAAAATATTCTGGGTACTATTAACAACAGGAAATGAAAAATATACTGGTTAAGACTAACACCTAAGGAAATATAGTAAAATAAAAGGTCAGCTAACTTGAAGATATAACAAAAGAAGGCACCCAGGGTCCTAGGCAAGGAGCTGAGTGCAGTCCCCTCAGCCCAGAAGCAGGCAAGAGAGCATGCCAAAAACATCACTTCCACATGGGTGTCCTGCCACAGCCACAACTACTGCAAAAACAGCTTGACACCACAGCAGTAGCCAAAGCCACTGTGCAGGTGGCCTGCAAGACACTCAAATGCATTGACACAAGGAGAGTCACCAGTGGAGAATGGAAAAAGATGACAATATCTCTCTCCTCAAAACCCACTCCAGAGTAATAGAAGAAGCAACATATCTAACAGATGACCAGACATCAACNACTACTGCAAAAACAGCTTGACACCACAGCAGTAGCCAAAGCCACTGTGCAGGTGGCCTGCGAGACACTCAAATGCATTGACACAAGGAGAGTCACCAGTGGAGAATGGAAAAAGATGACAATATCTCTCTCTTCAAAACCCACTCCAGAGTAATAGAAGAAGCAACATATCTAACAGATGACCAGACATCAACATAGAGATACTAGAAATACAAAAAGCCAAGAAAATATGACACCACCAAAAGAATACAGTAATTCTCAAATACCAGACCCTATAGGAGCAGGAAACCCTTGAAATGACTGAAAAGGAATTCCAACCAACAATCTTAACAAAATTCACTGAGATACTGGAGGAAAATGAAGGAAAACATCTGTTAAAGATGGAGGTACTCTTGCTCTCCTGTATTTTGCCCCTCAGCAGGATGTGAATACACTGTGTCAGCAAGATTTTGCAAGGCTTAACTGCAAACCACAGACTTTCTGTTGAGTTGCCTAGAAGATGAAGAGGTGATGGGAGGGGTTTGCAGCTGGCTGAAACATATATAATACCTGCTTTTTCCCCAATATATTTGCTTAGTGCATGCGCTAAGTCCCAGAACTTTGTGTCTGGTCTGCGGTTGACCACCTCCCCAAGTGGCGACCCCTAGTTCAAGGCGTGCTTTGAGCAACTCACCTTCCTGCACTCTCTTGGCAGGACTGCATGTGGCCTGCTCCCTGAGGGACTCCTGGCAGAGACTACTTGTAGTGCTGCCTCCTGAGACCCCCAGGACCAAGAGAAAGGTGCAAGATACAAGAAGATCAGTTATACAACATAATGAGAAAAAAATCCAGGATATGAAGGAGGAAAGAGATTAATACCTTAAAAAAGAATGTAGCAGAACTCATGGAACTGAAAGATTCACTCAATAAAATAAAAAACACAACCAATAGCTTAAGAAGCAGGCTAGAACAAGCAAAAGAAAGAATTTCTGATCTTGAAGATAGTCTTTTTGAAATAACCCAGGTGAACTAAAAAAATGAAAGATGAATTTTTTAAAGGTGAAGAAAATCTGGGCCGGCCCGGTGGCACACTGGAGAAGTGCGCCACTTGGGAGTGCAGTGGTGCTCCCACCGAGGGTTCGGATCCCATGTGGAGACCGGTTCCCACTCACTGGCTGAGCGCCGTGCGGGTGCAACACCAAGGGTTGCGATCCTGTTACCGGTCAGTAAAAAAGACAAAAAGGGAAAAAAAAAGTGAAGAAAATCTAAGAAAGCAGACAACCTTAAGTGCACAAACATCCCAATCATGGGTGTTCCAGAAGGCGAGGGGAAAGGAAAAGGCATGGAAATCCTATTTAATCAAATAATAATGGAAAATTTCCCAGGTTCAGGGAAAGACACAGACCTTCAGATACAGGAGCCTCAAAATCCCCAAACAGACTCAACCTAAATAAATTCTCTCCAAGACACATTATAGTCAAACTGGCAAAGCCCAAAGACAAAGTGAAAATCTCAAAAGAAGCAAGAGAAAAGCATCAAGTCACCTACAAGGGAGCCCCTATCAGACTAACAGCAAACTTCTCAACAGGAACTCAACAGGCCAGAAGAAAATGGGATGATATATTGAAAATACTAAAAGAAAAACTGCCAACAGAAAATACTATACCCAGCAAGGCTATCCCTCAGAAATGAGAGAAAAATAGTGTAGTGGATTGAATTCTGTCCACCAAACTCATTGAAGCTTGAACTGCGTCCTCCAGTTTTCATGTTTTAGAAACTTGGCCCCCACTGTGACTGTTAACAGGGTGGAAAATCCTACTATGGTAATTGAAAGGCAGAGCCTTGAAGAGGTGATTGGATTGTAGGACCATGCAGTAGTGAATGGATTAAAAATGGTGGTCAGGGGCATGGTTCTGAGGGCTTTAAAAGAAGAGGAGAGTCTGCCTTTCTCTGTCTCTGCTCTCTCAGCTTCCACCATCTTGCAATGTGAGACCCCTGGGTCACTGTCACCACCACCAGATAGACCTTGGACTTCCCAGCTTCAGAAATTGTAAGCAATAAATTTCATTTTCTTTACAAATCACCCAGTTTCAGGTATTTTGTTATAAGTGACAAGAACAGACTAATATAGAAACTTGGTGCCAGGAGCAGGATGTTGTCATACAGATACCTGAAAATGTGGAAGTGGCTTTGGAACTGGGTAATGGGCAAAGATTTGAGGAGTTTGGAGGACTTAGAAGAAGACAAAAAGATGAGAGAAAGTTTGTGACATTTTAGAGTTAAATGGTTAAATGGTTGTGACCAGAATGTTGATAGAAATATGGACAGTAAAGGTCATGCTGCTGATGAGGTCTCACAGAGAAATTAGGAACTTATCAGGCATTGCACAAAAGATTACCCTGCTACACCACAGCAAAGAACTTGGCTGCATTGTGTCCATGCCCTAGGACTTTGTGGAAGTCAGAACTTAAGAGTCATGAACCAGAGCATTTGGCTGAAGAAATTTCTAAGCAGCAAAGGAAGCTGCATAGTTACTTCTAACAGCCTACTCTTAGTTACAGAGCAAACGGCATGAGGTAAAGCCAGAATTTAAAAGGGAAGCAGAGAATAAAGATTTGGAAATTTTGCAGCCTGGCCATGTGAAATAGATAATT